TTTACAGAGAGGGCACCTTAGGAGACTTGGAATGTGTTCATTTTTTTGTGTTTCTTGAGGTACTGGTATTCTGTTAATGCGGGGTGGAAGGAGGCGAACCTACTCAGGCTCGTCGACTTCTTCATAAGAAGCGGAGTCAGCTACGCTGTCCGACACTTAAAGATTAGCAAAGCAGGAAGGGACAAATAAACATTTTTATAATGCAAGGCATCTTAGCCGCCAGAGCCTCACCTGCACGCATATGGACCGAAAATATTCTCAATGAGGGAGTGCCAAACTTTCTATAGGAAATGTGCGAGGCAAAACTTGGAGCATAAACGGTCGCCTTAATACAACGCAAAACTACGCATCCTTTTAGGGATGTTGTGAATCGATGCAAGGAGAAAGTGCTGTCAACAATGTTTACGTCGAGTGTCCAATTCGTACTACATATCTTTTCAAACAAAAATCATCTTGTTCAGGCTGCTCGCAAGCTTTTCAGTTGCCGGAGAGTCCCTCGCACATATGGTCTTCCCTCCAGTAACAGAAAAAACTACCTGAAGTGACTCCACATGAACCTTGGGCGTGAAACATGGCAGGATTGATGTCAGGTTGTAAATGCCATGGTAACTGCAGTTGATCACGTATTGTGCCACTATGTTGACTTCACCACTTCTTATCACAGTGACTCGGGCTCTTACTAATGAGCATTTAATCGACCTCGTAACTGATACCCCTATACACCCGTAAAACGTATAGACACATCAAAGACACCCTTGGCTTCACTGAGAGCTAATATTAGGAACTTCTTCGGAAGATGTTCCTCGAACGATGTGTTCATGGCAGAATAGCCCCGGGCACAGCGACAACCGTTGCGGAAGTGAAGTTCATTGAACTGAACTGAACTCGCAAAAAGCTCAAGCGTAAGGAACACACACGAAAATAGCACGGCATCAATTTAAGAAAAGAGTTTGACATTTATATCTCACTGGGCATGCATAATGTGCAAATCCCATCGCATGCGTCGTCAAACATTATCCTCCAAACACGCGTGGCACATACCTGTGTACCACGTGCCGTGGTATGCGGGTATGCGCCACAGGGGATTGACAGCCTATATCTAATATGAAATGACGAAAACAGACAATTGTATATTTATGCGACACCATTAAAAAACTAATATTGGCGGTGTTGAACTGCCGAACAGCAAGAATGAGTATCAGGTATCCAGCAATAATCAAACCGCCAGTCTTACTGAGCGGCAATCAAGTGTTTTGCCAGAACCACGCCTTGTATCAAAACTGCTTCAAAAAAAGTTTTTATGAAATTCCAATATTCGTATTACGTCAGTCAAGGTCGCCGTGCTGGCTATATATAACTTCATGAAAAATACATATGTAGTCTTATGATACAGCCATCGCATCATGTTAAAGGGAACTGTGTGCTTGAGTGCCATCCGGTTAAGCTTATTTACGCAGCACTATCCAGGGCTGCCATCCACGCAAGCACAAACGGTGCATATCGGTAACGGCTTCTGGTGTTAGTGACCACGTGGCTTTTGGCATCGTTAAACTGTGCGCAACCATTTGTATAAAACATGCGGGACTTTTGAACATACATGTGTGTATACAACATTTGTACATATTGAATCAAGCCACACGACCTACACCTCAAAGAAGATGTCGAAATAGGACAAGACAAGGAGCATTGGGGGGTGAAGAGAATATAGAGGTTCAACAGAACAAGACAGCGTAACTTTTATTCAGTAATTAGGTGGAGTTTCATTACAATTTAACGCAGCAGGCCTTGACGATCTAAATGTGGGTTGCCTTTTTAATTCAGCCAGCCATGGACAGCTTGGTCTTCACAAAGAACGTGCTCACGAAATATCCGTCACCAGATCCTCCTGTCGACATGACGACAGCTGAGCTGATCACTTCAGTTCTCGAGAAGGCGTCTATGTCTCTGAGCGAAATCTTGAAAAAAAATGTCCGTGAAGATAAATCTTCAAATCTCTCTTTTGAAGTGCCTTGTGCATCTAAAGTAGATAAATTAGTTGCGTTGGAACCTACATGTCATGCAAACCTGTCCAATGTTCTCCAAGCGTTTTAGGCTCAGCGGAAACATGTTTGCCAGCAAAATGATATCATTCAGGCTCTTTTATCTGTTATGAGCCTGAAAGACAATCGTCCTGTTGGGATTGTGAAACTTCAACTTTTTGACAATTTGTTAGGAGAACCAGAAGCATGGATTACTTTCATTGAGTACGCCTGTAGACAGAACCACTGGTACACAGCAGATGAATGAAGTATGAAGAATATATTCCAGCTTTTATCTTGGTCGCACGAGATTGGTATGAAATGCGCAACGTGAGACATAAATAGCATGCATGGATCATATAGAAGGAAAGCTTTTTCTCATCAATCTGTGGGAGCCCAATAGAGTAATGGATCAAGCCATTTTTCACTGCTACAGGTCGAGACCAGTGTTTGAGTATGTTTGAAAAGCGTTGATTGCTCCTACTTGCAGAGCCGAATTTTCCAGAAAGTTCTGTTATATTCTTTGTCATACACGGCTTACCTCGGGAATCGCCAATTACAGATTCAGGCGAGAATACCAAAAGCTGGGGAGACATCGGTGCACTCACTCCAAGTTGGGACCTCCCATTGGACGCATGCTGCGAATGCCAGCGCAGTCACACCAAGATTTCTAAGGGAGAGGATTATTAGGAAACAGGGAGTTTCGTGCACAGCTACTGTTGTCTTCACATTGGGCACGTGACCTCGAGTTGTTGCACACTACCGAGATGGAGTTTACGACTGAGCAATGCGTTTCGCATAGAGTAAAAAAAAGAAGAAAAACTAGAAAAAGAGCGTTCTCAGTCTGACCATGAGACAAAAAAAAACGAGACTGTTAGTGTCACTTCTGCAAGCTTGCTGCGTGTAGACCTTCGGGTCAATGGACATCACATAGGAGCACTGATAGGCTGTGCGGCAACAACCTCTATTCCTGATTGATTGATATGTGGGGTTTAACGTCCCAAAACCACTTCATGATTATGAGAGACGCCGTAGTGGAGGGCTCCGGAAATTTCGACCACCTGGGGTTCTTTAACGTGCACCCAAATCTGAGCACACGGGCCTACAACATTTCCGCCTCCATCAGAAATGCAGCCGCCGCAGCCGGGATTTGAACCCGCGCCATGCGGGTAACAACCTCTATTCCTAAGAGAAGCAATACTGATGCTCACAATGTATTCCGGGGAAGTTCTGTTCTTGTACGTAGGTAGGATGGCAACGAGAAAGCGTTTTGTCAGGAGGCTCCCCGAAACTTCTGTACCAATCTAAAACTGCTGACGTTGTTCTAATACTGCAGTCGTTGTCGCACTGGTTTTAGACGCTGTGGTTGCTTCATTCTAGTTCAGGTATGAAGCTGTTGAAGCTTTATATTCATTTTGACGATATAGTGTCTGTTGATAAAGAGGCTGATAAAGCGGAGCCGGGGCACAAAGAGATGCATCTGCTAATGCCTAGCAAAGGCAATGTGATTTATTATTAATGATATTTTTTATTTTTCATCAATAGTTTGATGAAGGCAGTTTGAACTGGTTTGCTTGAGGGGATACCAACCGGTGACAACTAAATTTGAAGTTTTAATGCAGCTTCACGAGAAAGTAGTTGCGAAAAAAAGAACATATAAATTGACGCGAGTGAAGAAACCATGGCTCAAAGAAAAACTTTAAAATATGTTAGATGCCAAAATATTTCAATCATTAGTGTTACCATTGCCTCTCCCATCACCATTGCTCAGTGTTAGAAAAGAAGGTGGTACGTAGTGCCTCCGCATGGACTAAATAGTGATGATTAGCCATATTCTGTAGATAATTTGTCCGATCCCGAGGTTCAACACAGTCATTGATAAAACAAGAGGCTGTACCTGCGTTTGTCGCGTAGACCTGCGCAAGGGCCTAAGGCAGGTGCCATTAGAAGAAGACACCAAGTGATACACGGCATTCACAATATAATTTGCCATTTATAAATATAACCGCCTTCTTTTGTGTGGAAAAACTCACTGAGCTGGTTTCAGAATATGACGAATGCAGTGTTGAACCCATATATCGGACGCCTTTGCAATGTCCATGTAGACTACAATATTATATACTCTAAAAGTGAAAACTTTCATGAGCAACACCTGGCTCAAATAATGAGAGCATTATCAAATGCTTGGTTAAGAGTTAGTTTGAAACAGATTGAGCTTTTTAAAAGCAATGTCAATTTTCTTGGCAGAATGTTGGATGAAACAACGAAGTACACGAAAGAAAAGGAAGTAACTCATACTACAAATCTTGCAAAGCTGTATTATATACACTCGCTTTGTGTATTTCTAGGATTCACGGGCTCTCTCAGAGCTTTCATTCAAGATAATGCTTTGAAAAGTCACTGCGTTACAAGATTGACTCAGAAGAAAATCCCCTATTGCTGGACAAAAGAATGTGACGATGCCTACAGAGAACTGGTCCACATAAGTTCTTCCGATCAAGTGCTGTGTACCACACTATCACCTTACGACGACACTTGCAGCCAAGCACGCAAATACAGGGCCAATTCTTTTCGACCTCTAATAAAACTTTCATTGGACTTCAAGTGAACGCCTGTCATCAAAGCTTTTTTTCTGTGTCTTTCGGTTTCGCGTAAAAATAATAATACCTTGGTTTTACGTACAATAATAAAGATATAATTTATTAGCACGCCGTAGTAGACGGGTCCGGAACTTTTGACAACCTGAAGTACTTTAGCTTGAACTAATATCACACAGAAGTTTAACCTCCAGCATTCTGTCCCCTTTGAAATGCGATAGCCCTGGCCGGGATTGGAGATGTGACCGTAGTATCAGTACCCGAACACCGTACCCGCTACAACACCGCGGCAGACATTTGTTGTTGCGAGAAAATTATGTTTAGCGGATCCATTCGTAAAGCTGTGGAAAGCTGTTAACGCATACAGAACTCTCACAATAGAAAGTTGAGAATGGAAAATAACTTTATTTTGCTCCATCTGTGTGTCTCGAATGCAGGTTTAGTAGACTGAGCCACCATTTTCTTCTTTAATTGCCCGTTTTTAAGACTGCGGGTAATTAGACTCCTTGATTGTAGCGTCACCGGAGGTGATGGTATCATTACTAGTTCATTCAATTGCATCAATTCGTGAAGTCATCCGGGATCTGCTTCAAGGCAGAGTGCTGGAACTGTTGTTGGTTTCATCAATTGTATCTACTTGTGGAGGCGTCCCGATTGTAGGTGAAGTGCCGGCATTGTTGTTTGTGTCACCACTTGTATCAATTCGCGGAGGCGTCACGGTGCTAGTTGTAGGTGAAGTGCCGGAATAGTTGTTTGTTTCATCAATTGTATCAACTTCTGGAGGCATCTGGGTTGTAGGCGAGAGGCCGGCATTGTTGTTGGTTTCACCACTCGTATCAATTTGCGGTGGCGTCCGGGTGCTGGTTGTAGATGAAATGCCGGGGAGACCTCCATCAGTAGTAGTTCCTTGTACCGACTTACGTCTTACACACTTTCCGCCACTGCAGTAACGTCTGTTAGAAAAACGTCCGAAGACCTACAATAAAGAAAAGAAAATTGCTAAAAGCTTTTTTGTTAGTGCAGTTCATAAAAAAAGGATGACTTCGTAAGGTGCTTTCTTAGAGGAACTCCGATCTAAAGTTTTACAGCGTGTTAAACATAAACAGGCGAACTTGAATGGGCACAAAGTTGTTTCAGAAAATTTTGATTACGTTTTTGATGTGCGAAGACGTCAACAAAGTCAAACCAATTGAAGACAAGTCTAATGAGAAATTCTTTCTATAAAAAGGCATTATTTCACAATACATAAAGTTTGTCTAAGCATAACCGGGCACCAGGGTAATGTTTAAAAATTTTGAATGCACAAAATGAACAAACTTACTGCCTAATAAGCAAGGGTAGTTCAAGTTTAGAAGAGATAATAAAATTATAGAAGGTGGTTTCTTTTGAACAGTGCTACCCGCCACTTTTCAGACGATCGCTGTCCTTGTTACTCTCATTGACTAGTCCATATTTATTTCCTTGTTAAATGCCTTTTAAGAACGCTGTATTGCGACTAGTTTCCTTGTTGTCTAGGATAACTTTGTTAATCGAGATCGGTTGTTCGTAAGCCGATTTGTTTGTATGATTCACCATCTTGTTACACACAGGACGCACAAAGTCAACATATAACCACGGCACCTCCTTTTGTATGCATGTAGAAAGTAGTTGTCTCTTTGTTTGATGTGAAATAACTTTTTTGTAATTCTGATTCTTAACTTCAAAGACGGCCTTCAACTACACCTTTGAGAGCAATAGGAGGCGCAATTTTCCAAAGCATGTGTACAGTCTACATGTGGAAAGGTCAGAAGAGATCTCGAACTTACCACAAGCAGCATTAAAACCTGAAAAATTCCACGCATTGTTGCATTCGGTCTAACACGAAGCAGCCAGCAAAAAATAAATCATACTGTACACAACGGGCACTTCATCAATTACAAGTTAGGACCTGCCATTCAAGTTTTCATACAACCTCATCACACATTATGAATTTCGGTGCATAGTAAGCTAGTGACACGGCCGCGAGTGCACCATGAGCATGACATGTCATATACGCCGTATATTTTGTGCATATCAAGAATTCCTGTTACCACCTGTCATCTAATATCATACGGCCACGTCACACAATGCCAATATTGGCGCATATCAAGATAGCGAAAGAGCCGCCAGCGTGTCATGCACTGGCTAGTCAATACTATTGTACATGACGCAGTTGTCATGATTTACATGTTAGGACTAGTCACTTATGTCAGCTATAAAGATTAGTCACACAATACCAAAGCCCACTTGGGAAACAGACGTGAGAGCACCATGAGCGCTATGAGATTTCATTGATTGATGTGTGGGATTCAAGGTCCCAAAACCACCATATGATTAAGAGAGATGCCATAGTGGAAGGCTCCGAAAGTTTCGATTTTCTGGGGTTATTTAACGCGCACCCAAATAGGAGCACACGGGTCTACAGCATTTTCACATCCTGCGAAAACGCAGCTGCCAAAGCCGGGATTCGATTCGGTGACCAGCCGAGTATCTTAGCCACTAGACCCCAGCGGCAGGGAAATGTTGAACATGACATATATGTATTGCCTTGGAGGAGATGTGTACCCAGCACTTCCACCAGAAATGTGGGGATGCTGAGGCACACAGGCTAAAAAATAAACGTGTTTATTTGGGTGAACCTGCTTATTTGGGTGAACATTATTATGGCCGTTGAAGTCCGAGTCAGCCGTACTCTAAAGCTATCTACCTTGCTGTTTGTTTGTTTGCCTTCTTTCAAAAACAATTACACGAACCACTTTGCTGGTCGTTCTAGTGGCTTCCTCTTCATTGTAACAAGAGGCACACAAGCGCGTAATGCGTGCAAGCCGGGTCTGACTAAGGCCCCTAGCGACTTCAGGTCTGACCTAGAACTGGTACCACAATGGTACCTACCTGCGCGGCAAGATGGTCGCCACACGCTATTTGAACGCGGCCAACCTGTCACGGCCAAATCGTTTACTTTTATTTGATCAAACTTCATTTATTTTATTGATAAAGACTTTTCACCAAATTCTAAATTTATTTTAGTACCTATATCACGGTAGCGAACAGGCCGCAAGCGCAGCATGAACATGGTATGTAAATCATTTTGTACATGGCATGGTTCGTCATTTGTTCGTACCATTGGTGCCTCACTATTCTTCATTGATTTCGTTATTCATACCTATCACGCAGTACCAAATTTTGTTTATATCGCTTAATGAAATAGCCGCAAGCGCACCATGGACGTGGCATATGCAAGTCAATTTTACACGACATACGATTTTCATACGGCCACTTGTCATTTATGCTGCTCATATGGTCACGTCAAGCAATGCCAAATATGGTGTATATGAAGCTATCGAACTATCCCGGCTGCGGCGGCTGCATTTCCGATGGAGGCGGAAATGTTGTAGGCCCGTGTGCTCAGATTTGGGTGCACGTTAAAGAACCCCAGGTGGTCTAAATTTCCGGAGCCCTCCACTACGGCGTCTCTCATAATCATGTAGTAGTTTTGGGACGTTAAACCCCACATATCAATCAAGCTATCGAACTGGCCACAAGCACACAATGAGCAAGGCATGTATCATGATGACCATAATATGGTTGTCATGATTTTTTGTTTTAGTACGAGTTGTGGTCTGGTGGTAGACGCCGTGCGCTGCGGATTGGTGATTTCTGTTTTAACTTCTGTCATTTATTGTCTTCATAGAGTCACGTCATGCAAAATCAAATTTAGTGTATATAAAGCTAACAAAAAAGCCGCGAGCGTGCCATGAGCGAGCCATGCAATTTTTGTTTTGTATGACATAATTCTCATGAATTTCACATCAGAGTTTCTTATTCAATTTCGTCTCACAAGCACGTCGTGCAAAGCCAAATTTGGTATATTTGGACTTAGCAAGTTTGCCGCGAATGCATCATGGAATTGCTATTTATGATGGTATGCATGACAGGCGATTCACAATTTTCTTATTGTCACCTGTTCTTTATGTTAGTCGTGCAGAGAATGTCATTATGCCAACTTTGATAGATATCAAGTTGGCAAAGATCAGGCCTGCTAAACAGCAGCGTGTGCCCATCCTGCCCTTGCATTTGCCCTTACATATTAAGGCGAAAATCTTTAATGGCTCCTACACGTGTCCATTCATCTATGCTCAGGAACGGGGCCAGCTTTGGCTTTTCTCTTTCACGCTCTCTCAGCAGCCATGTCATGGTTTCTCCCCCTAATGCTCCTTAGAAATCGCGTCACAGCATAGGATCGCGGGCAACAACGTTCCTTTGGAAATATCTACGTTTCATAGCTTCGAGAAAAGAACTAGAGGAGACTCTGGTGCTGCAACCGTTCCGCGACCATGAGAATGATGAATATTAAAGGAATATTCCTAGTTTTCGAACTTGCGGGTGGCTAATCGCACTTGTAGTTTTGTTTTGTTGCTGCTTTCGGTTTTGTTTCGAAGAAAAAAAAACAAACCCTTTTCAACTTCGCAACCCAATTCGAATTGCTGAGCCTAAAAGATTCAGGTGGTGAAGTGTAACTAATAAACTATATTGCTGATTTTTGTTGCGTCACAAAGCAACTTCAAGCCACGAGAAGCCAAAAGGAACGTAAAGCACGAGGAAACGGCAAATTCGTACACTACTCCTGATTCCTACGCACGCTGTAGCACCATCCATTGCAGCTCCCATAGACACTAGCGCCAGAGTTCTATCTAGTGATATTTAGGAAACTCTAGGCTTCATATAGTCCGACACCACATTCGCGGGAGCCAGCTATGATAAGGCTTCGGTGAATGAACTTGGTGATACAGAGCTTTGCCGTGCTACTATGAGGCGTGAATTCAAGCAATGTCGTCTTTACTCATGCACGCTCGGGCACACTCAGCGTCCCTTCGTCAAAGAAGAGACGCAGATGCGATGGCGTCAAGGTAAATTGACCGGTGCGAAATGCAGCATGTGGCGTTTCGCGCCAGACTACAAAGTGTGTTCGCACTTCGCGCCAAACTAAAGTGTGTGTTCGGTACACTGGTGGTCGTGGTACAGAACCTGTAGTCATGGGCACACTTTGGAATTCGCGAAGTGTCTGCAAATGTTGACGCGCGACCGACTAGCATAACAGGGAATGTGACTGAATGCCGCGCGCGTCTAGTCGGCCTCGGGGAAAATATAGCCGCGTGGCTCGGGGCGCGAGCTAGAGAAATACAAATTTTTTGGCTCTTACCAGATGTCACTTATCGTGATTACACAGTATGCGGCCGCCGTCTGCCTGATGCCCCCGGAGAGAACGCAGCGCTGTCCCGTGGCTCCGATTCATGAGAGTAAAATGATTTAAGGGCTCTGGCGAAGCTTTTTTGATAATTTCTAATAAGGTGTGGACTCTGACTCAGAAATCCTGGCTGGTTATATTTCATGATAATGCAAAAAATAATCGAGAATATAAAGAGAACCATGTTTTGCGCAGTGGTGGGTTTCATGGCCTTCCTGCGTGGTTTAAAAAAAAGGGAGCCCGTGCCTGCCCCGGTGCTTGGTTCAATGAATGGACGCGAATCCGGGCTGCGAAGTGGGGAAACCAGGGCGGCAGCTATCGGCTTAGGCGAGTGACAGTGCCCGGAACAACTGCACGTCTTTCTCAGAGAAGTATGCTACTGTAAAGGACACAGAGGAAAATAAGTATTTTGTAGGGCACAGTTTTAGTTCAGTGCATACCCTTGTACACAGCGTTCAAACTTAGCTGGTACACTTACTCATGCCCGAGCAGGACGAGAAGATCTTCGCGCACCTGTAGTGTCGTACTCTTGATAATTGTAGTGTCTATGAATCAGTACCTGGTAAGTGATTACCTTTAAGCACGCCTTCAATAAATTGCCACTGGATGCGTTTGAATCTAGTGCTGTACCAACATGGCTCATCATGCTTGGTTGAATGCTTCACGAAAGTGTCACTTTCCCCGAAAGCAATCGTCGAAGAAAATTACCGCTGCTACACCAACCCCTCATTTTTGTCTCTAGTACACGCATCGGCCCATTCAGTCACCATCTAGCCGAAGGACATGATCACGAATTAGACAACGATGCCATACAGATATGTAATAAAGCTGTGCGGTTCTTTTGGCATCAACAGTTGTAGGAGTGAAAAAACTCCACGCATCTCTACAAAGGGGGTCATGAGTAGTGGCATTAAGGATTGTTTTTTACCACAAATAAAAATGACATTGCCAAGTAGCACATGTAAGGGAGTGACAAAACACGTGAGTATAAGCATTGTGTTTTAGCTGTAGAGCCGCGGCTTCCGTCCTCAACTATAGGGCGGCTGCTTCTTATCGGGGTTGCTGTTTTTCCGCTGCTTCCCTAGCTGTACTCTCCGTGGTAGCTTGGTGTCTGCGTAGAATTTGAGCCACTGCATGCCACACTGCCACCCCCGGAGTAGCAGGTTGTTGTCAGCGTCGCCGGATTGCCGCTACTTTGCGAGCTCTCGTCTCCAAAGTAGCTTGTATACGTCGGCGTTACCTTTCGCAGCAGAAAGCATGCTTACGTTCGTTTTCATCCATGACCGAATGATAATGTGTGTTCTGGAACATGCTTTTTTTTATTACCATCAGCATCATCGCCCAATATAACCCTAGCTTAAATTTCGTATATTGCATCGTCCTCAGCGTCACCGTTGTAACCGTGCCATGGAACATGCACAACGTCAGACAAGCCTATACACCAGAACACAGCGAGCTCAGGCTTGCTGCCACATTGAAAAGCCCTTGGCGCCGTCTGTTGCCATCGCGTCAAAGCGACACTCTCGACTGCCAGGCTAGCAGACGCTCTGCAAATCAAATGCGAAACTTAACGTATCGAGTCCGGCTGTAAGCATGGTTCGCGCTGTTCCTGTGCTAGAATTTTATGCTGATGTCATGTGAAACGTCGAGGACACCCTTCTCGACAGCCTGAAATGTCTGCAGCACGTACATTGCCGACTACGGAAGCAGCTCCATCAGGTACATACTATTGTAATTGAAGAAAACGCGACCAGCGGAAAGCGTTGCTTTCGTCCAGTCGAACTGCAGCGTGCCTTTGCTGTAACAAGGCAGCAGATTTTGTGCTGTAAGCCGGCGTCAACGAAGCGCTAGAATCTGGTTCCAATTTACGCTTATGCACCGCATGTGTATCAATTCCCAGTCCTGCCGGGCACTCGGAACACACGTACGCGCGGTGAAAAAGAGCCTGTCAGAACATGATTTTAAAATGCTACGGTGACGCCGGCTGAAAGCACATGGTGATTGGCCTATAGTGACAGTCAAGGTATGTCGCAGTTCGACCGGGTCAAAAGTCATACTTTCCGCACCGTTCACTCATCGCGATAGTAGACAACTACGGTTGTACTAAACATTCGCGGTGCGTGCATCCACGCATGAGTCGTAATACTTATATCCTGTTTTCGATATGCGGCCTGCGGAAGAGTACGGCAATAGTTTTGAGCATTATACTGCAGGCATACTGCCCGCAAATCGCTGCTTTAATGTGAAACAGCTGGAGTCACGCTTGAATAAACTTACTCGTACACTTTACAGGGCTCGTAGTTTTTCCTGCATAGTGCACCGTAAGGCGGTGAAGCTCAGCCTTTTTCATTGTGGACGGAAATTTGTGCAATCGCAAAACACCGCATCGGCACAATTCCCACGATGCGCTGTGAACGTCACAGGCAGTGCTTAGCAATCCCTTCTTCTTGCGTTGGTTGTTGTCGCATCAGATGGCAGCACAGTGGTACGCAGATGACATTTTACATGCAGGCGCAGCGTTAACAAGCGCGTTTTAGCTTTTTAAACTCCCAGAGCCACTGCTTGCCATACTAGCGAGGTGCGTCTTGGCAGTTGGAAACAAACTATGGCGTCTCTGGGAGCGAGGGTATACCACTGAAAGCGCCTGAGTTCAAGATAGGCGTGCTCTCGTCTATATACTCTAAGGTGCTTCGGCCCTGAAAGCTGAGCACAGGCAACTCGGTCCAGCGTGATGAGTCTAACCGCGAACTGGGCAACCTCCTCCGGCCATGCCTCAGACAGATGACGATGAGCCCAAGCCAATACACAATGCATCAGCGAAACACGTCAACCTTGAAAGTCTTGCAGTCAGTAGTGCTACAAAGAAGTGCAAAATCGAATACGACATGCATGCTAGGTTTGAAACACGAATTTCGCACGCTATGTTTCTGTTCGTGGCAGCCGAAAATTCTTATGCGTGTCTCTTGCGGCACACACACGGGTAATGATGCGGTCAAGGTATACCAAGCTTATTTAAAAGGAAACATGGCCGCTTTCTTTTATGCTCACTCGGCCGGCGAGGGGCGGACTTCGTGACGTGTCTTGAATATAACGGTTCTGCAGATGCGTCATTACAACAGTGTTCACAATACATTCGGTCCCATGGGGGCTATTCCTCTTAGCCGGCAGAAAGCGACGTAACAAGTAAAGCGTAGCAGTGAGGAAAGTATCTGAGGAGTTCTATACATTGTTCTAAATGTATGAATAACGCACAATAACAATTAATTTTAGGACACTCCTGCTGGCAAGCTGCCGTTAATTTTGTTTGCGCTGAAAAGCTGGCTGTTTCAGTAAACTTAACAAGAATCACGCAAAACTTGTTAAGAGGATTCCGTTTTTGTTCGAGAGTGGAAGAAAATGTTGGACGAAACTGTAGCTAAGGTCTCCAAATAGTACTTAATTTTCGAGAATTTTGAAAATAAAATGTTCCCACCTTATTTATTTGCAAGTCTGCGAAAGGGCTCCAAACTATATGGTCGTTAAAATAAATAAGAAATCAAGATTGTGTTCTAGCGTGTAGCTTGTTTGGACTGCCTTTGCTGCCCATGGCTTAAATTAGCTAATGTGTCCTTGAGACTTAGCAACGTTGTCAAAATTAGTTATGTGTTTGGCTGCCTACAAATGATATTACAAGTATTTTATTAAAATTTGAAGTTGATCAGAAATGTAGCCGCTGCTCTCGTATTCTGTGGGCAATGTGTGCTAAATTTTAAAGCATTACCTTTTCTTGAAGCTTTCTATGTCATATTTGGACGTCTTGCTGATTCCTCACATGTGCCCTTCAGCTCAACTTGACCAATATGTAGACATGTATACTGATACTGTACAACGCGCTGCCCTCAAAACCTTCGAAAAGCAAGAGTCGTTAAAGTTTATTACTTCATTAAAAGAAAGGAAAGCTATTGCGTCACTTGGACTGTCTAAACACTTCAATATTGTTATAAAGTCAGCCGAGAAAAGCGGTGCCGCTGTAATTTTGAGCAAAAGAGATTATATGATTGAATGAACAGACTGTTTAACCATTTAGTTTTTATAGGCACTTAGATTATGATCACACTCAAGGGTTTAAAGGAGTTATACAAGATGCCATCGACAATGTGTTGCAAGAAAATAAATTTGGCGATAACGCAAAACGTTCCCTCGTCCATCTTAGCACAGCTCCGGGTAGGTTTTGTTGGCTGCCAAAATTACACATTGAAAACTGTCCAGGATGCCCCATTTTTCTTGGGCTTTGGCACTGTTAAATTGCGGACACACTTCGCCTCGAAGGGAGCAAAAGCAGCAAAACCTCCCTAAAATTCACTCGCTTTGGCCCATGAACTACCGGAAAACAACGCTACGAATTCGGAACGAAAAAAATCATTCCAACGCCGATTTTCCCGCCACGTGAACGCGGATGGACTGTACTTCTTTTTACGTGCAGTACTCTCCTTCTCTCCCTCTCCTTTTCTTTTTTTAATTATAGTTCTCTTATGCTCAGTGCAAGGTTTTAAACAGGACGCTCGTCTTGTTAACTTCCATGTGTCTTTTTCTTTTTGCTTTCTCTCTATTTCTCTACTGCCTTACTCATGTTTTATTCGTATTCTGCTTCTTGCGCCCCTAACAAACAGTACGCTTAACACAAACCTCAGACTCACCCCACAAGTAATTCCATCAGGCTCGGCCTGAAAGCGCCGTGGCCACCCTCGACACAGATATCTGCATTTCACCCGGTAGGAATTCTGCTTCTGCAGCTGGGCGCGCAGAGAAATATTATATAGGTACCGTTATTCATTCGCACACACAACACACAAAAACACACTTCGCATATATATATATATATATATATATATATTTATATAGTGGGGGTAATCATTTAATCAGCCAGTTAGTCTTCGTGAAGGTATAGAATATGGCACAACGGGAGCGTTGTCAACAAGGATAAATATATTTATTTCCCAACAGTTTCGGGAAGGGTCCTCCATCAGGGGATGAGATAAGGCTAACTCATCTCCTGATGAAGGGAGGACCCCTCCCGAAACAGTTGGGAAATAAATATATTTATCTTTGTTGACAACGCTCCCGTTGTGCCATATCCCATACATATATATATATATATATATATATATATATATAATTGCAGCGAATAAATTCTTGGACGCCGGTAAATAGTATGAATAAAAAGAAGACACACGTCGAAAAACGGAAAGGTTTCTTTACGTTTCGGCCGTGGGACGAAGGCCGGTCTGACGAAGACTGGTCCCACGGCCGAAACTTAAAGAAACCTTTCCGTTTTTCGACGTGTGTCTTCTTTTTATTCATATATATATATATATATATATATATATATATATATATATATAATACATGACTGCTTTGAGTGGTTCAGATACAGGTTGCTGGGTCGGCCTCGGTACTCGGTACATCTTTTGAGAAACGAGAATTCTACTTACTTTAATTCAGGCGCTTTTTCTTTGCTCTTCTGTATTGTCATTATGAGCACGTTATACAAGTAAGTGGGATGAAATTTATTGTGATACATATGTCGATGATACATATTCTTTGATAACAGTTCTGATTCCGGTTTTACTAAATATTTGTATCGCTAAATAAGGTTATTCGAAGCTTGCTGGGTCAGTATTGAAATGATTGAAGATTCATTTTTCGCTTACGGGATTTGTTACTGTAGTTTAGCTAGTTTAATTAGTTGATAAGTTTTATATGTACGCCTCACTCATCTTTTTGGATCATACAGAAAATATAGTATTACTAAATTTTCAATGTTGAAATATAACGCCAATTTTTTCAAGTAAGCCTATTAGTTGTCAATCTTCAAAAATAATTTCGCCCTCACCCGTGGTAGTGGAAAAGCTCGGTTGCATTTGCCCTCTTCTGGATCTCCATCTTGCTCTCCTAAATAAAATAACAAAAAACTTTGAACAACTTAGCGTGACCTTGGCACGCTAAACATATGGGTACTTTGGTGCATGACAACATCGATCAAGGCAAATAATTTGAACTGTCTGGCATTCAAGGCACATAGTTTCCGTTGGCTAGTAAGCACTGAGCGAAAATAATCTCTGATGCCATGTTCCAATTCTTCATTCAAACATGGTGTAAAATTTCGTTTTGCACGCTGAAATGTTATAATATTTACAAGCCACACAGTGGCTGAAGAAATAAGCCATCGTCTCATTTAACAGTACGAATTCTGCTGGACGTGCATGCAGCATTATATGAATTGATATGTTTTCAGCAAAACAAACGAAACCAAAAGGCTCCAAAACTAACAACGCAGGGCGAAATGAAAGAATAAAAATACAGAAATAAAGTTACCCATTGCGTGATTATGCAGTAAAACGACACCCTAATATCTTCAAAAAGCAGCATTATAGGCGGAGATATTCATCTGATTTGACAAAATGGTAGTGAGAGACCAGTGAATATGGTAAGTTAGGTTATCATAGTTACAGCAGACACTCAGCGTATGCGGAGAAGAAGATGTGTCTCTTTAGAAGAACGCTTGTTTCTGTGTTCTGTATTTTTTTAGTGAAATCATCGGTCTTTTGAGGTGCCTCGCCTCCCCTTCTTCCGGTGATGGCCGTGGAGCATGCCAGAGGCCCGCCTGGTCACAGGTCCTCACACCCGTCAACCACAAGGAAGCGAACTGGCTCTCGCAGTGACACTGAGGACACCGATCTCTACTGTATGTCGGAAGACGACACATCCGATGACAGATTTATACCTGTCCGCGGTAAGAGAAGGACGGCGAATACAGCAGCATCAGCTCTTGCAAGCACAGCGACTGTGCAGTCAAGGCCTGCGCGCTGGCCGCACGTCATCATCTTCATGCCCAAAGATCCACCAAGCAACCTACGGCTTCTGAACAGGCGAGCCCTTCCCGTTGCTCTCGATTTCGCGGTGCCTCATCAAATTAAGGACGTACGAGTAAACCCAAAGAAGAACATTCTCACCATAGACGTGCACGATGTGAGTGCGCTAGGACAGCTGCAGCAAATGACTGAACTAGGCGGCATTAAAATGCGCCCATTTATCCCGGTGAATGATAAATCATATGTCGGTGTAATTTAAGACGTCGACATTGTCATTCCTATTGCTGACTTGTCTACCCTCATCAAGCCTGCAAACGAGGGAGCAGTCATTATACAAGTCGGCGCCTTGGAAATACGTGCTGCGTAAAAGAGTTTTTCAAGGGAGATTGCATACCGTCCCACGTTACAGTTGGACATTTCCGACATTCAGTTCGACCATTCATCTAAAAGCCACTTCAATGTCATCAGTGCTTCAGGCTAGCACACGTCAAGGGCGTATGCCCCAACTTACGACTGTGTCCCCGCTGCGCTGAACCTCATGCTGAAGACGCCTGTCGGGCGACTACTCTGAAGTGCACCAACTGCAGCGGTCCTCATGCTGCCTAGTCGAAACACTGTCCTCGAATCCAAAAGGAGCGCGCGGTTCTCAGACAAATGGCCCGAGACAACTCGTCACACAGGGAGGCAGCCGAAGTAGTCCGGCGTTGGCGTCGACATCGGCATCATTGAAAGTGTCCAACGAAGGCACATTCCCGAGACGCTACTTCCCACTCTTCAGCGGTTCCATCCAGTAGCGCCACGAAAGGGCCCACAACTTCTACGAAAGAAACAGAGAAGCCTCCTTCTCTGGAGGAATGGCCCACGCTCCCGACGCGCTCTTCTGCCAAGGAACCTTTGCAGGTTGTGGCCACACCAGAGCCATCTCCAGCCATGGAAGATTTGCCTAAAACTGATCGTCAAGTGATCTCGGTGCTGCGTTCCCTCGTAGAAGCCATCCGAGCGATATTAGTCGGCATGAAGACACCATCTGCTTGAAGTGCACTTGGATTATTGGACGCCCTAAGCCCAGTGCTTGAATCTCTCAACTAGGAAGATGGCTACTCACACCTCATCATTTTGTAAAGAAGTCAAGGCTGCATTCGTCATCCAATGGAACGCCAGAGGACTAAAATCACGCCTTTCAGATTTTCGTCAGTTTGTGTTTACCAACGTGTTTCCAATCATCGTCATTTGTGAACCCAATTTGTCGAAATGAATAAGACTGTCGGGGTACGAAGCCGTCATGTCTTCAATGAACGGTGCGTGCAGCAAAATCATCGTCTTTGTTCGTCGTGAACTGACGTATGTTGTGCAACCAATTGCACCTCACGATGACAATCAGCATGCCTGTATCACTGTGAAAAAGAACAAACTCATGTGTACTCTCATAGGCGTTTATATATTGCCGTCGAATAATCTCGATTCCACGAGATTAGTGGATAATTTGAGAGGGTGTCCTGAACCATGGGTCTTCATAGGTGATTTCAATGCGCACAATCACGCATGGGGAAGTACGCGGACAAATGCAAGAGGACGCAGGTTAGCAAACATCGCCTACAACTATGGCCTTACTCTCCTGAACAATGGTAGCCCCACTTTTCTTCAAGGGCTGACATACGGCAGCTGTCTCGACCTTGCTTTTGTCTCCAACTCCCTCGCGATATACGTCAAGTGGTTTCCAGATGTTCAGACACGAGGAAGTGATCACAATCCAATCTACCTTAACATCAAAGTCTTGTCTAGTTGTGGTTCATGGACGACCATTCGAGCAGTCTAATGGACCAACTTCAAATCTGACATGGAAGATGCTTACAGCGATAGCCTACGATCTGGGTTGGAACAAACAATTAAGAGCACAATGCAAAACGCCACTCGCACGGTGACGATAACTTCCACACGAAACGACTTAGATATAGAGTTGGAGCAACTCCGAGCACTGCGACGCCGGGCGGAGCGCCGGTATCGGCGTACAAAATCAATTCACGATCTTAGGCAGCCAGGAGGATGCAAAAGAAGATTCGGCGTCGCATAGATAGATTAGCGTCAGAACGACGGACAACGTTTTGCCAGTCACTAGACCCTCGCAAGCCGCTTTCACACATTTGGAAAAGGGTGCAAGGTCTGCGTCATCCTACGGAACAGCGTTTTCCATTCAAAGCGCTCGCGCTATTTCAGAGGAGACAAGACATCGACGTCGCAGAAGATTTCTGTGCACAGATCGCCAACCAAGCCACTCGTCCAGATTTTCCAGTGAGAGGTGACGTCCCCCGTTCCCGCGACTACCACATGGACCTCCCTTTTACAATGGAGGAGCTCAAAGCGGCACTAGCTCTCTGCAGGCGTTCAACTTCTCCGGGCCCAGATGGTATTCCGTACCCAGCCTTGTGCAACCTTGGGGAAGGTGCAAGGAGAGAACTGTTGAGCCTCTACAACATCTCCTGGCAGGATGCCAATGTTCCTGATGACTGGAAAGTAAGCCGCTTGTTACCCATCTTGAAGCAAGGCAAATCCCCACTCGAACTCACCTCATACTGCCTAATTGCACAGGCCAGCTGCGTAGGGAAGATAATAAAACGTATGATACTAGGCCACCTGGAGTTGTATCTTGAATACTACAAGATTTATCCGCATTCAATGGCTGGTTTCCGACGCGGCCGCTCTTCTATTGACAATGTCGTTGATCTATTTTCGTACGTTCAGCACGAAAGATCCCGTAAGCGACTATCTGCAGCTTTGTTTCTAGATGTGAAAGGCGCTAATGATAATGTACTACATGAAGCCATTTTGGGTGCTCTTGTGGTGGTTGGCCTTGGTGGTCAAGTTTTTCGGTAGATTTGGAGTTACCTGGCTACAAGATCATTCTTTGTGTTAACAGAAGATGGCCCAACTACGTGACGCTATACTTCCAGGGGTGTTCCTCCAGGCCGCGTTCATAGCCCGACGCTATTCAATCTTGCACTAATTGGCCTTGCTGAATACTTGCCAAGCACCAATAAAATCTCAAATATACGCAGACGACATCTGTGTCTGGACTTCGGCAGTCACACGTCCTCAGATACGTTCCCGGCTTCAAAAAGCAGCAACTATGATTGCCAACTACTTGTTAAAACAAGGTCTGAGCATATCACCAGAAAAATGCGCGCTGGTGGCCTTCACTCGCAAAACAAATCACCCCTTATGTCATCTCAACCTGCGGGCGAGCGATTATTTGCGCCAAAACTCATCGGTTTTTGGGAGTCATTATTGATAGGGACCTCTATTGGAGTCCGCACGTGACCTATATGAAGAAGCGCCTGGCCGCTATTTCCCAACTGTTGAGGTTCCTGGCAGAAAAAACGTGGGGGATGTCAGTAGACGCATTGGTGGAGCTCTACAGAGCCCTGTTTCTCGGTTTCCTCAGATATAGCTTGCCCGTGCTTAGCAATACCTGCAAGACCAATGTTCGTGTCCTACAGGCAGTACAAGCCCAAGCGCTGAGAGTGTGCCTTGGTCTGCCCAAATGTGCGTCAACAGAAGCAACAATTGCAATTGCTGGTGACTATCCGATACAAACTCACAATGTTGTAGAAGTCCTGAGAACGCACATCAGACACTTCGCACGTGCTCCCTGTCATCACCTTGCACTGTTGCCTTCAGAGAGGCGCCAAGCATCGTTCGCCGAAATGATTGTGAAATACAACGATAAACTTCCCTCGGGCTTCACTCCTGCATCTAAACCATCCATACCCCCTTGGTGTCTTATTCGACCCACAGTGCTCTTAGTGTACCAGGGATCCAGAGGAAATCTGAGCTTTCGTCGCCCGTGCTGAAACAACTGTCTCTTCTTCTTTTGCACGAGAAATATTCAGACAGCATACATGTATATACCGATGGTTCCATGAACCGCCAGTGTTCGGCAGGGGCAGTAGTTTTCCCAGCATGAGGTGTTACCATCAGCTTTAGGACTGACCAGTTCACAGAATCTACAGCAGCGGAACTAGCTGCTTTGCGCGCTGCACTTTGTGTGGTCGATCGGGAACCACCACAAAAATGGTCGATTTT